CTTAGGGCCTCGGCCCGCAAAATGTGATACGCAGTAGCGACTGCATCTTTCCGTTAAACATGGTACGATACGCTCACCGGCCAACAAAATGCGATACGCAGTAGCGACTGCATCTTTCCGTTAAACATGGTAAGATACGCTCGGCACTTCTCACATTTAGCAAGTTCTGGCCAAGCGCCCTTATAATTTATTCACAATAAAGCAACTTGTTCCCTGTTCCAGTATGAGGACATTGAGTGAGTGTATCTTTCTGTTAAACAAGGCAAGATACGCGCACCACTTTTCACATTTTGACAAGAAGTGCCCTTATTACTCACAATACAGTAGCTTGTTCAGTGCTACAGAACGAGGACCGGGAGTGAGTTGAGCGTATCTTTCCATTAAACAACCTGGAATGGAAAAGATGCACTCACCTTTTTTCACATGGAGCAAGTTCTGGCCTACCATCTTCACCCGAATAGAACGCCCGGCCATTACAGCTGCATTTGGTGCAACTTTCACTCTAGATGCAGCGATAATGACCGGGTGTTCTATTCGGGTGAAGACGGTAGTGCCCCTCATTATTTGCAGTAGAGTAGCTTGTTCCATGTTGTTCCTATATGAGGACACGGACTGTAGCTGTCTGTTAAAACTGGACAGATTTGGCGTGACGCCCATATTATACACAGCAAAGTAGTGGGTTCTGTGTTACAGCGTGCGGACACGTGGAAGAACTCGATGTCTTAACACTTGAGTGTTAGGTTCACTTAAGATGCTGTCTGGTTTCAATTCCGTTTCCACTTTCCTTTTATTATTAAATTTATTTTATCTTACATTACTAGTAGAACTTAATTAGGCTTCTTTCTTCCTCGGAGACACTCTGCTTCAACCCATTGATCAGTGATGCAGGCCGTGAGAGGGTGACTGAGAGAGCACTCACACTCGGGACTTCTCGGAACGAGTCTGGCCACAACTGCCGCTCGATGCATCCTCGAGAGAGAGAGAGAGAGAGGAGAGAGAGAGAGAGGAGCAAGCTCAGAAGGGGAGCATGGAGGGAAACAGACACAGGGAGGGAGGAGGAGGGAGAAGGCGGCCTTGCTTGAATGCTCAGTGACAATGTAAATGGCAAAGACGAGCGACTATTTTAAGCAACACGCGTCTAATAATCACTCAAAATTTCGGAAATTAAAATCACAGCTGCAAACTGGAAGAGACAAACCACGTGATAAAGAATTGTCAAAAGGCCACCGCTGGGACAAAGGAAAAGACCGCCCCCCCCCAAAAAAAAAAGAGAGGATAAAACAAAGTTCAAGGCCAAGGGCTCAACCTGTTAGACACAAGCACAGCAGCATCAAGGCCCCAAGTAGGACAAAAAGAAAGAAACCAAAAAGAAAAACAAAAAAAAAAACGGAAAAACAAAAAAAGTTCAGAAAACCAATACGTAAAGAATTTGTCCTTTCTTTCAAAATTCACTATAATTTATTAACACATCAAATACAATTAAATCATACCAAACAAACACATAAAATATTCACGACAACAAATCAAATACAATAAAAATGCTATAATCGAAGCGATTGAATGGAAGACATATACACTCCTCACCCGCTTGCCAATGTCTTCCCTGCCGACATCTGTTGTCCAGAGGCTGCACTGTTCTTCTACGAGAGAGGAAAGTAATCCTCCTCCCGAGTCCGACGCCACATCTTCCTTCACCTGCATCCAATCGTCATACATACACCCAAGTAAACGACCAATTACTGTATTCAATTTTCCTCCTCCTACTACTACTACTACTCCCCTCCTTTCCCTGATTTGAGCAACGTTACACGCTGTATCAATTGATGTAATCATTTGCATAAAAACATGCAATCTGGCCATTGCTTGTCACCATTCTTTTCCTTAAAAGGAAAGAAAGAAAAAGAATAAAGAAAAGAAAAGAAAAGAAAAGAAAGAAAAAAGGAAGGGTGGTGGCCTTCTGGCCATTGCTTGTTGCGATTCTTTTCCCCTCTTGAAGGACCACCACTACCTTTCGCATACATCGGCCGCGGGGATGGTCCCCAATCATTTCAGAAGCCAAAACAAAACAGCGGCCGCCGATGACATTTATCAAACAGCGGCTGCCGCCGGGCCCTGTCCCCGAAGAATGCAGTATTATAGGTTGCATTCCCACTTTTCCCAACACTGTGAAAGGGTGTAGTGGCGGTTTAAAGGAAAGAAAGTTAGAAAGGAAAAAGGAAGGGGGGCGGGCCTTCCGCTATATCAACCCGTGGGCCACCGCAGGGGCGAAATGTCACATGCCTCCATTCTTCGGTGCGGGGCGTAGATTGCAAAGACAGATGGGCTGAAAACCTGAAATTCAGCATCCAGGTGCACAGTTCCACTAGCAAAGAGGATTGAACGAATGCCTGAATGTGGACGTGTTTGTGGAGAGGTGCAGAAGATCGTCGTCATTGATCTGCTTTTCTGCATCTCTGCAAAAAACACGCCCAAATTCACGTATTACTATTATTCATCATCATGTATTTATTTTTGTAACTGCAGTCCAGAACTCTGCCTGCCGGGCAGTTCATAGTTTGGAGCAGCCTTTATATTGGACTATTCTATTATCAGATAAATTAGATAAAGATGAGAATATATTCATTATCTTTTCAGATGCCTTTGAGTTAATTTGCTATTAAATTGGTATTAACATGACTACATGCGAATTCCACATGAGATCATTATTAGGGTCGGGATAATCATTCCCATCCGACATCAGTACCCCGGTGGGCTATGTCCCAGCCGTCATTCATCTTCCAGATCAGCAGATCCATAAGCCCCATGCCACTGACAGATTGACCGTGGGAACTGAGTGGGCTTTGAACCCAGCACCTCTTCACTAGTTCTAAGACTCCCCGTCTGCCTCCTCCTCCTCCTCCTCCTCTCCGCCTTTCTTCTACTTTTCCTAAACTACTCCTTAAGACGTCTGCCTAGCAAGCAAGAGGTCGCCTGTTCGAGCCACGGAGTAGACTTTCGGTTGTGTGAAAGCACAGCGCTGATTCCATTGCATTTAGCCCTCCCCTTCTCCCCTTCTCCCCTCTCTTCGTCTTCCTCGTTCCTAAGTCTTTTCTCTTCTCCTCTTCCTCCTGGTCCGCCTCCCGTCCGATTCCCCTTCCCCTTCCGCTTACCTTCCCCTCCCCCTTCCCTTCGATTCCCCTTCCCTTTCCCTCCCCCTTCCCTTTGATTCCCCTTTCCCCTTCCCCTGCTCCTTCCGCTCCGCCCCTTCACTCTCCGCCTCCCCTTTCCCTTCCCCTTCCCTTCCCCACTCCTTCCCCCTTCCTCTTCCCCTTCCCCTCCCTTTCCTTTCCTCGTCCGTTTCCCTTCCGCCCCCCTTCCTTCATCTACCCTCCCAGCCCCGGCTCCCGTTGCTCCCGTTGCTCCCGTCGCCACTTCTTTCCGGCCCACCCTCCTCCCCTCCCATGCAGCCGCCACATCTTTCTCGCCCACCCTCCCTCCTTCCTCCAGCCGCCTCCATGTCCCTCAAAAGCTGCCACGCGCGATGGGCAGAGAAGAGCACGTCAGTGTCAAAACTTCGATCTATTGAGACCGCCGCCATTCCATCCCCGCCCCGCCCTGGATTGATGCAACTCCGATCAGCCTTACAGAGCGAGGCACAACTTGCCATTCATTCCCAAGGGGCACTCTTGCACATCTGTCTCTTCTGAAGACTCAATAAAGTGCAGCGCACATGTCTACTAATCAATCAAGCAAGCAAGCAAGCAAGCAACGAAGTATTCCAAGCACCAAAAAGCAAACGCCTGCTCATTTTTCACGTGAATCTTCGTGTTGCCAAGGAGCCCACGGGTCATCATCTCCGCGACTCGACGAGGAGCCCACAGGTCGTCAATCTCCGCAACTCAACAAAACTCCTACCTACGTATCGAAGTGTCTAAGGCACTTGATCTGTGCTTAACCGCTGATCTATTTATAGGTTTTCAGTGTCTGAAGGCGCGAACAATTCTCTCTTTTATTTTCTGTTTTTTTTTCTTTTCTTTTCTTTTCTTCTTTCTTTTTGCCTACATTATCTCAGCTGAACATGGCGCTATTGCCACGTCGGAATGCAAAAGGAAGATGGTCAGGAGCATGACAGACGCACAAGCAAGAAAATTTTGTTCTCCCTCAGCGAAAGAGGGGATACTCACCCACTAGGACTTTCCTGGACGTATCTGGTCACAATTAAAGCCTGTCGTAACGTACCTGGCCGCAATTACGTCCAGAGTTCAGTCACCAAGTCCTCGTGTGACCATTAAGCCTACAGTTGCACAGGTTATCAGAACTACAATCATAAGCCGTTGCCTCAGACACACTGGCAAAGGCCACAGAAGAGCAAGGAGATGGTTTTTGTTTTTTTTTTATAATTCGGACCAACACTCTGGCAAAGTGCATAACAAGTACAGGACTCGAACACACACACAACTCGCGTCTTGGCACTCAAACACCTAACCATAAGGCTAAGTGGGGTGGGGTTGGGTGAACGTGAAGCCCCCAAGATGAGCACTTCACCCCATCCCAGCACAGAGATCCCACGACACGGTGTACCCAACCACACTCATCCTCTACACAGCCACTCTACCGTAGCGTAACCTCTACGGCGATTACTGCGTGAAAGCACGTGTATGACAAGTACAGGAAGGACTAAAAGCGCATGTAGGTGTTTTTTTTTTTTTTTTTTTTTTAATAATTTGGACCATTTCTAGATTTATGCATGTCATCCTTGCCCGAGAGCAATGCTAATCTTCTCTTCTCTGTACCGTTCCAATTTCCAATTTTAACGGATGTCCCGGAGGACAGGAGGTGGTCTTATGTGACACACACATGCAGAGAAAACATGAGTTTGGCCAAGCTACCAGCTGAGGAAAAATGGCAGAACGAAATTCTCGTAATGGCTGTAACCACGAGTTGCCCCAAGCTACCACACGAGGACCTCGCAGAATATATTTATCTTTGTGGTGGTCGTGTGTTCGATTCTTGAGGTCCGATCATGGACGACAAAATGCAATGGGTGTAAACATGAGTTTGGCCAAGCTACCAGATGAGGAAAAGGCAGAATAAAATTCGCTTCATGTGGTTGTACTCCATAGGACATGGAGAACGCTTTAGCTCCCTCTCCCCCCCCCCCCCCCCCCCCAATGAAAGGAGCAAACTTGATTAGACTTCAGACTGTGTTTTTGCTTCATGTTTCTTTTTCTTCTTCGGTTTATGGAAACCTCTTTTTTCTTTTATTTGGTGAAAAAACATTATTTCAAGGGACATCGGATCCGATCTGCAGGAGGCGAAGCCGGGTCATGGCCCCAGAATTTTCTTTCACCGGGTTGTGTGGGGGGGGGGAATTCCCGGCCCCCTTGTGAGCCCTTGTGGGTAATGGCCCCAGAATGTTCACCTGAATGTTCACCAGAATGTTCAGGGGTGGCGATGGCTCTGAACTGTCCACTCGTCGAGTGGATCCGCCTGATCGGCCATGATCTGCAGGGATGGCTTGCGGGACAAGTCCCCCCCCCCCCTTCTACGTGTCGTCATCATTGACTTGACACGTGGACACATTAGACCGTTAGCCCTGCGGAGGGGACAACAAGCGGATCGCCTTAGAGCGTATGTACTCAAATTGGGCCTCGCTCTGCTCTGCGGGATGATGTCATCCCCCCGCTTCCACGTGTCGTCATCATTGACTTGACACGTGGACACATTAGACCGTTGTTAGCCCTGCGAAGGGAACAACAAGCGGATCGATCGCCTTACAGCGTGTACTCACATTGGGACTCGCTTACAAAAGACAACTTGTGGTGGAGTATCTTTCCCTGCTCTGGCGGAAGATTCACTCTCGTTTTGCACATGTCCAGAGTAGTGGAGCGAGGCCAATTATCTCTATAGGTCCAGTGTGTCCCACTCGACATTCGAGTGTAGTACACGCTCTAAGTATTGCCACCGACTTGACACGTGAGACTATTAGGGCGTCGTCACACCACTGTCGAAACGAAAAAAGAATGAATGCATCTTCCCCAGAAAGTGGCGAGATGCATGCGTTGGTATTCCTAGTAACGGATGCATCTTACCATTCTTTGCGGGAAGATGCACTATTTCATTTTCCGTTTCGACAGTTGGTGTGGCAAAGCCCTTACCCTGTTACGCCGTTCAAGTCGAGCGGGCCCAACATACGCATCGTCTTAGAGCGTGCACTCCTCACATTAGCTCTCTCTTCTCACGAAAAAATGTATCTGGCCGCATTTACGGCCCGACCTGGATGCACCTGACGGCAATTACGTCCATATAAATAAGTAACGTCCTGGTGTGAGCATGCCCTCACGTCCATATACATATTAAGTCGAGTCCTGGTGTGAGCATGCCCTTCACAACGACCTCATCCCACCGTCGAGACCGTTGCTTCATCTACTGACCCATCGATGCCTATAGATCGCAACAACTTCATCTACAGGCCGATCGACGGCTATCAGCTTCATCTACCAGCAGCCGCCGGTTTTTCTTATTAAAAAAAAAAAAAAAAAAAAAAGAAGGTCGATCGATGGCTATGATCTCTCGAATGCAAAGACGATAACCGGTCTATCTCGAAAAAGCTGGAGCGAGAGACCGTTGGAGCTAATTGGAAAGATGGATTGTGAGGAAGGATGGATGGATGGATGGAAAGATGGGTGGGGAAAAAGACGTGAATGGAAAAAAAAAAAAAAAAAAAAAAAAAAAACACGTGAATAGATTGATAGAGAGGTAGACGCCAACATGGACGCAGAGAGAGAGAGAGAGAGAGAGGAAGGAGAGAGATGGAGATGGATGTCATCTGTCGAGGGTGGAGGCACGATGCGTTGTTTGGATATGGACCACAGAGAAAGGGGGAGGAGACGGTGCAGATATCCATATTATTTATTATTATAATAAAGTAGTAATTCACGAAAAGAAAGAAGGATATGGATATGGGTATGGATATGGATATGGATATGGAAAATCGGAGATGAGGGAAATAACCGGACAGAGGGTGGACTGACTGACTGAATGAGTGAATGAATGAATGAATGAATAAGTTTTCGAGTGAATGTGCCTCGCTCTGCTAATCACCAAACGAGCAAAATGAGAATGAATCTTCCGCTAGAATATGGCCAGCTACACCACCATATTTTCTGTCTTTTGTGCAATGGGTGAGTAGTGTTGGTAAAAAATTTGTGGGCGTAGATCCAGATCGGTACCCGGAGTCAACAGAACGGAATCGAGCCGGTGACCTCTGCTAGAACAGCCGGATGGCTTTACCACTGCACCCCCCCCCCCTGCCTGACCCGATCTTCAAAACTGAACCCATACCGGTCGTGACACTCAGCCCATCCCCGCACGTATGCAGCAAGGACTTACACGTCAGCACTTGACATCAAATCCCCTAAAAAAAAAAGGACGGAATCGAACCCGTGACCTCGGCCGCTAATCATCCCAGCCGGAGTCCAAAAAGATCTTAGAGTAGAATAGATGAATTGGATTTGTAAGCGGATGGAGTAGTAGTAGTGGATCCAAAACTAGAAAGTTAATCTCTGAGGTGTCAGGACAGCAGTCTTGTTTTGGCTATTTCTGTGCCTAGATATTCCTCATTCCCACATTCCGGATTGAATTGTGAGGTCCCCGGCCTCTTTTTCTTGAGTTTTAATGAGAAGCCCTATAAGGGCACACTTGAAAAAAAAAAAAAAAAAAAAAAAGTTAATCTCCATGGACAAATGAATCTGAAAATACAAGTTGTGTCCATGGACAAGTGGATATAGAAAGATAAAGATAAAAATAGAGGACAAATGGATCTGAACATTAGAGTTACGTCCATGGACAAGTGGATATATGAAGATAAAGATAGAATTCAATCTCCGGTCTTCACCGGAATAGAACGCCCGGTCATTATAGCCGTATTTTGTGCAACTTCCAGTCTAGATACGCGCTACATTCGGGTAAGACGGATCCATCAGCGTCCAGGCGTGTGTCCGGGCCACAACTTGTGCCCGGACATACGCCCGGGCACAAACTTCATTGGATTTTCAGAGGGATAAACCCAAGAGCGTACCCCCCCATGAACTGATGAACTGTTGAAATACAGACGTGTGTTCGAATCCAAATGATGGAAATTGACGAGTAAAACGAGATATTTATGAATTGCCTGGGGCTGGTAAGCTCAATGATGATATCTCAAAGGCCGGGTTTTTTTTTTTTTTTTTGCCGTCGCCTTTTTCTAAAAAAAAAGGGAAAAAAAAAAAAGTAGAAGAAGAAAAAAAGAGGAATAACGGATCGATGGATGAATAGATGGACAGACGGACGTGGACCAGGGGTTGAGTTGATTGATGGAAAAGACCATTGTCTTATTTCCGTTTTTTTGTTTATTTGTTTGTGTTTGTGTGTCTTGTTTGTTTGTTTGTTTGTGTGTTTGTTTGTTTGTATTTCGTTTGATTGCATTTGTTCGATTATGTATCGGTTTGATAATTTTGATTGTTTATTGGGGGAAAGGCAGGAGGCTACTTGGCTCGCCCGGCCGTGCACCCCAGGCAAGTCGCCCGGGGGTAAAAAATAGCCCTTTTGATTTTATTTTTTTTTTATTTTTTTTTTTGGGGGGGGGGGGGGGGTTGTGCGCATGCCCAGAGGAGATCAAATCCGGTCTCCTTTCTCTTTTCGAGTGTTGGCTATCAAGGCAGGGAAAGGGAGTATAAATTGGCTTTCAACGGGCTAAAGGGGTATAAAAGGGGGTGCCTTAGTCTGATTCTGTTCTTTTCTCTTTTGTCTTCGAATCCATGAGGAATTCTGATATGACCCTCGGCCAAGAGTCGTTTGTAGTGCAATTCTAAACAACATACTCTTTTTCCGGATTTTTTTTTATTTCTATTTTTGGGCGCTGGGGCTGCTGCCGGGAACCCCGTCCTGGGTTCATGTCCGGCGGGGCACCCGGGCGTGTCCGGACACAAGTTGGGTGCCCGGGCGCCCAGCAAAAAAGCCTAGGAAAGGCACCAATTTATGGATCAAGAGACAGAGATGGATGGGTTCATGCCCGGCCGGGCACCCGGGCGTGTCCGGGCACAACTTGGGTGCCCGGGCGCCCAGCAAAAAAAGTCTAGGAATGGCATCAATTTATGGTTCAAGAGACAGAGAGGTGGATGGAGGGATGGGGGGGGACAAATTGAGATGGACGAGGGGACAATTTGAGATGGACGAGGGGACAAATTGAGATGGGGGACACCAATTTATGGATGGAGGGATGGGTGGGACAGTCGGATGGATACGGATGGGGGGGACAGTCGGATAGATACGGACTATCCAATCATACGGAAAATAGAGTACAGAATAGCAAGGAGAATGGAGGAAAATAAATTAAATAATTCAAAAAAAGAATAGATGGATGAAGCGACAAATTGAGATGGACGAGGTGACAGGAATGTGGAACACAATGGAATCGAAAGATGCACGGGGGAGTAGCGCATCCAGACTAAGCCACAATTTGTTTGGTTCATACGTAATTTCTTAGTTAAAACGGCGATTCTCCTTTTTTTTTTTTTTTTTTGGGGGGGGGGTCTGGGGGAGAAGGGGGGGGAATAACACGGCGAGATCGCATCCATCCATCACTCGACAATCACCCAAGAGAAAAGGGAGAGGGGGGGGGGGGGGGGGGGGGGGAATAGAAAAGCAATCCATTAGCCCTCTTTCTCATCCCTTCGTTGCCGTTTATCTCTCGGAAAAATCCCTCGGCCAATCGCATTTGTTGTTCTCTCTTTCTTTATTGTTGTTGTTGTTGGGATTTTCGACAGACTGGTTGGATTGAGGATCGATCCGCTTACCTCGCGCAGGATGCTCACCTTCTTCTTAGCAGCATTTCCTTCCAAAGAGACGACGCTTTCAAGTTTCGCGCCCCGGTCGTCTGCTGCTCTCCCTCCTCCTCCCCCCCCTTCCCCAGCACCTCCTCCCTTGCCCAAACCCTCTCTCCCTCTCTTCATTCCTCCTCTTCCTCGTCCTCCTCCAACACTCCCATTCACCATCGGCTTGTTGACGTCATCTTCTCTGAGTCTCCCGATCCCACGGCCGCCGAGTTGCGCGCGATCCGCGCTCGTGGGGGGATTCCTCTTCCTCTTCTTCTTCGCAGCAGCGTTCCCCGCGAAGCCATCACCAGCGTCTTCCCCCTCATCCTCTCTACGATCCGTCATCTTCCTCTTCTTCTGCTTCTTTATCTTTTTCTTTCTCCTTTTGCCGTCCGATGACCCCACCATCCCCACTCCCTCCGACGACCCAGCCTTGTTCTTCTTCATCCCCCTCCCCCCACTCAACAGGAAACCGCTGCCTGCATGAGCCCTGCGCCGCCGTCTGGACTCCTCTCCGCCGGAGAGTCGCCCTACCTCTACCTCCACCTCCTCGGCCGCCGCCGTTCTGCCACCACCATCATCAGCTCCTCCTCCTACTCCGCCGCAGGACAACCTGATCACATTCCGTCGATTCCTCCTCCCGTCCAGCATCATACGAGCACAACCCTCCTCCTCCTCCCCCTCCTCGTCCTCCTCCTCCTCATCATCCTGATCATCATCGTCATCCTCCTCCTCATCACTAACATCGCCGCCGCCGTAAACATGCCGAACCCCGCCAAGCGTTCCGCTAACACCCGCGCCCCCGCTGTACGTCATCCCGACCGAAGGCATCAAATGCGCCTTGCCCGTGTACCATTCGTACCCTTTCACCGGCGTCCGTGCTCCGACTCCCCCTCCCCAAGCGAGACTCCCCCGGCCGCCGCCGCCATAGCCCCCGCCGCCGCCGCCGCCACCGCCATAGCCCCCGCCGCCGATCTCATAACCTCCCGCCAAAGAAGACGACAAATCACCCACAGCCTTGACGTCAACAACAACCCGATCCTCCGGCCTCTCCCCGCCTGCCGCCGATCGTCCTTTCCCGCCGCCGTCGCCACTTTCCCGCCGATCTTCTTTTCCCGCCAACCGTCCTTTCCCGCCGCCATCGCCACTTTCCCGCCGATCTTCCTTTCCCGCCAATCGTCCTTTCCCGCCGCCATCGCCACTCTCCCATCGATAGTCGCCCTTTCCCGCCAATCGTCCTTTCCCGCCGCCATCGCCACTTTCCCATCGATAGTCGTCCTTTCCCGCCAATCGTCCTTTCCCGCCGCCATCGCCATCGCCATCGCCACTTTCACGGCTGACTACAAATCTGTTAATCTCTTCCTTCCTGTCAAGGTCGCCAGCTTCGTCTTCACCTTCTTCCTTCGTCGTTGACACTGCTAGGACTGATTCCCCCCGCCCATCGTCCGCCTTGTCCTCCCCTGGAACAGGACCACCACCACCCTCCTCTTCTTCCTCCTCCTCCGCCGCCGCCATCGATCCTACGTCCGACTCTACGCACTCTCCCTCTTCAATCTCCCCTTCCTCGACCTCATCTGGCTCCGGCCGAGATCGCCTCTGTCTCTCCCTCGTCTTCCCCTCACTTCCGCCCACCTCTGCCTTTGCTTCTCGCTCCACCTGTCCGCTAGATCGGTACCGCCGATCGTAGCCGTCGATCGTCATCATCGTCATCATCATCCCTTTTTCCGCCGGCTCCGCCGCCTCCCTTCTCGCAGATCCATCAGCGACACTTGCACCACACAGCTGCTCACGAGCAATCCCCTCCCCCTCCCCCTCTGCACCACCGCGCCTGCCCTCCGCCAGCTCCCCCTGCTTCCACAATCCATCCACCGCCGCCGCCGCCGCCTTCCGCTCCTTCACAACCGACCTTGCGACGTCGTCGTGCTGTGACAGCGTTATATCGACCTTGCCGACAAGGCGGCCATCCGCCGCTCGCGGGTGGTTGTCTGCCACGTGGCGACTCCCGATGACAACAGACTGTAGTAGACCGAATCGGCGTCGATCTGGATCTGATCTATTACTATCCTTGCTGTCGAGATGATGCCTCGACCCCATCCTGGGCATCATCATATTATTATTACTTATCTTATTCGCATTAATGCTCGCTTCGTCGATGCAGGAGACGGCGACGGCGATCCCGGCCGACACCGGGGTCGGTGAGCTGATACCCGGTCGCACCGACGGCGATACCGATGGCAACGGCGATCGCGATCGGGACGGCAAATAGGGTCCGTTTGGTGGAAACAATGACGCCTCCTCCACGCAGACTCGCCGCTGACCTTCGTTCTCATGCGCAGAATCTCGATAACCTTGTCCTGTCCCCTTCTCCTCCTCCTCCTCTTCCTTTCTCCCTCTTCTTTCAATCTCCGCGTGTCTTGATTGAGGTCCCGACGATCCATTAGCCGCGACATTCCCCTTCCCTCGCGGCTGATTGCTGTCTTGATTGATGGACGCCAGCCTCCAACCATTCCCTTCTCTATCGAGATGGTCGTTTTCGATCTCTTCGCCATGATCTTCTATCATCATCGTCGTCGCACTATGTCCCCCCCTCTCCTCCTCTCGTACCTCCTTTCTACCCTGGAAGGCTTCCGTCTGCCAAGTGCCATTCTTCTGCTCGATAGCTGCTGCTTTCCCTTCTCCGGGGTATGACTTGGGCGGTTGTCGCTGACGATTGCAAGAGTCGAGGAGAGAAATCCAAGGACGAAGAGCCGTCGTTCTCTCAGCTGGCTTGGCTTCCATGTCGGCGACGGAAGCGGATGATGCCCCCCTCACTAGAGCATTCGCTGCATGCTCCTGCTTCATCAGCAGCTGGGTTTCTGGGTGATCCTTCTGGTTCCAGATCTGCTGGTTCACCGCTGCATGTTCCTGGTGCGGGATCCGGTCCACAAACGCTTGTTCCTGGTTCGGGATCTGGTCCACCGCCGCTTGTTCCTGGTGCGGGATCCGGTGCACCGCCGCTTGTTCCTGGATCGGGATCTGGTTCGCTGAGTGTGCCAGTCTCAGACGAGAAGGAGGAATCCGCTGCTGCTTCTCTGAGCGTTCCTTGCTCGCTAGCAGGTTTGCTGCGCACCCATGATTGCGCACATCGTGGCCGTCGATTGCATGTTCCTGGTGCACAAACGGGACCTGGACTCCGGTGACCGTGGACACCATCACCTCCCCGCCATAACTCCTTTCCTTATCATCATCACCAAGTCGCCTCCCCTCTCCATCAATGACTCTCACCTCCTCTCCCATTCCCATTTTGCAATCGTCCGCTCTATTCGTAGTATTAGCACGACGAACGCCGTCATTCTTTACCAGCCCATCCTCCTCCTCCTCCTCCTCCTCCTCCTCCTCCTCGGCTTCTCCCACTTCTTTCCCCTCTCTTACTCCCCCTACCTCACCAAGATAAGGCTGGCCGCGATCCCGATCATCGCGAGGGACCTCGTTTCCGCCATCAGCGTCCCGACCGCCGGGGATGCTAATAATTTGTCCGACGACTGCCGAGCAATCAAGCCCGCCTACGTCAGCACCCATCATGTCCACGTGGCAGCCCGTCACCGCATCCCCCACCCTCTTTGCCCGAACATCACGGTGGCGATCAGCATCGCTGCCCTCAGCAGAGGTAATTGCGGCTCCTCCCCTCTCCATCAATGACTATCACCTCCTATCCAAATTTCGGATCTGCCCTTCCCTCCTGATCGGACATTCACGACAAACCTCCTCTTCTAATACAACTTTCAAACGAAAGCAGGACCAGATCCGCTGCTCCTACATTATCACCGCTGCCTTTGCTCCTGTCGGTGGCTCATTTAGCACAACGGATGTGACTACCAACCTCCCATGTCTCCTCCATCAGGTTGCTCTCTCATCTCTCCCCCTCTTCTCGGGTAACTCAGTCTGCGCTCCACTAGCACTGAATTCTCGACACGTGGCACAACAGGACGTCATTCAAACATCCTGATTCTCGATGGTCTGGCACACATTATGGTCATCCAACCTCTTTGCACCGACCCACTACCCTCAGCCCTCAGACAGCAACGCTACAACCCCAACTCTTTGCCCCTCATTCGCAAGATTTACCGGACCGTCGACGACTCCATCGCCACCCCACAACACCATTTTGTCCAAACGAACACCACCGACACCAACACCAACACATCCTTCTTTTTATTTTGCTTATTGTTCTTCTTCTTTCCAAAGAAGCAGGATCACCAGCTCTCAGGTGCGGCGACTGTTCGCACTTCGGCCATCATTCGGACCGGATGCACCGCACACGACGTGTTGGGTGTATCCCCAGAGATCTGCATCAAAGCGGTTAAACGCTTTTCACCTGAAGTGCCCGCACGTGGCACCCAAACACGACGGGCAGGGATAGCACGCGCGCAATGCAACATCCGGTGCCGCTGCGGCGAAGGGAAACGCCATAAACGGCGGCGGGCTAGTATATATATGCGTAGATCTTACGAAGCATGAAACAACCGGCAAGGACGGACGGCCGGGGCCGTCGGCGTCCGCGGGCACCGGCGAAAACTCACCGCATCACCCACAGCCCATGTGGGCTGATTGGTCCACATGTATGACTCGGTGTGAATCAGATGGATACCCTAACGTTAGGGGTCACTCACCGCTTCCAGCAGTGTAGCTCAATTGGTAAGGCACGCAAGTGGCATTCAGGAGGTCTGGGGTTCAATCCCCAGCGGCCTCATGTGCCTTCCATCGGCAAGCTTGGCACTCGCCACCTAGAGATATGCCGTCCCCCCCGACTGGCATTGTGCAGAGACCGAAGAGCTAAGGTTTCTTGACTACTCTTTGGTATAATGGATGGGACTAATTGGGTGGTTCTGGAGATTCTGACTTTTCTTACGTGGTGTGTTCATAGGGGCAGGGGACCGGAGGCGAGGCACAGTGGTCCTGATGCTACCGGCTGACCCCGGGCTGGCGAAGCCCACCTGTAGCAGGTATCGCACCTGCTGGTGGGTGCAGCTCCTGCATGTTCCGCCGTTGGAGACTTTAGCACGGATGTGGCTGCTACGGGGTTCCCCGACAATAAAAAAGGCCTGAAAGGCTGTCCTGTCCAGATTTGACAGATAATTGAATTGGTTGGGCAGATAGGCAGCCGCGAACCGTACCCACTTCCACGAGCAGACGTCGTGTCCGGTGATGGACAGTGACAGGCATACCCACATCCTCAAACAGACACGACGGAAAGGTGATAGGAGGGCGCCTGATGACAGCGTGCATGCGTGTTGCGTTGGAGACAGCACACCCGCGTGGACGTCCATGTGTTGGAGATGCCATGCCTGCGGCGACGAAGGAGGAAACCCTAACTTCGACCTCGGATGCAACGGGCGGGAGAACAACGATACTGAAAAACAACAACACGAAAAACAACAACACGAAAAAAAAAAAAGAAAAAAAAAAATTACCAGACTCTCTGTCTGTATGGAATGCATTGATTCAAACCGGTGGTACAGATGGAAGGGCATAACAGCTCGACACGACTTTCCGATGTATATACAAAAAACAACTGACAGAAGTGGAACTGGGTACCCGCGGGTACCGAAACGAAACGAAAAGAATCAGGCTCGACAGACCCTGGCGTGTAGGGGAAAAAGCGGTTCGGGCCTTAACAACCACTAGGTACTGGTGGTTTAAAAAATTAGCAACGAGTTCTATTTTTTGGGCGACGTCGATGCACGGACACATTTACCTAGATCGGTACCATGCAAGCGCGGAAGCACAGCCACTCGGGAGTAAGAGCGGGTCATTATTGCATAAGCTCAATCTTTGTTTTTCTTGACAAACTGTTTGTTTGTTTTTTTCTTTGGTGAGCCTTCTCAACGCAGAAACTCAGCAGTGGGTCTTTACTCCTGCATTCGCTGAATGCGATGTGCCCCTTCTGTGTTCGTTTCGACAAAATTCAACGCCTCAAAAATAATTAGCTCTCGCTGCTTTGAAAAAAAAAAGGCCTCAGCTAATATACTCATCGCTTCTGAAAAATCGTTGAATGGATGTGCCTCAGACCGGACAATTTTATTTTCAAAGGCGCGAAGTGTTCAGGCTTTAGCCTTCTGTCGCAGTGTGCAAGGGGCATTTTGTTTTTTTTATTTTTTAGTTCAACCCGTGTTTTCAAATTCACAATCTGCTATCAGGGCTCACCACACAGCCTTTCGAAACCATACATTTTTCAAAAGTTGTCAGACATAATTCAAAAGGAGTACTTTCGAAAGAAAACTCCCCTTACCGATGGGCATAACTCAATTGATACACCCACAAACTGTTGAAATACAGACCCAAGTTTGAATCCGGATACAAACAGTTAGCCATAATAAAATTGTTCTGAACTTCATGGGGGAACAGGTAAGAGAGAGAGAGAGAGAGAGAGAGAGAGAGAGAGAGAAAGAGAAAAAAAACAAACAAATAAGTCTCCAATCTCCCGTCATGCTATGTTCATCGATAAGATGAGCAAAATCGAATTAATCTACCGCTACAACATGAAAATATATATCACCACACTTGTTTTTGTTTCTTTGTGTGTGTGTGTGTGTGTGTGTGTGTGTGTGTGTGTGTGTGTGTGTGTGTGTGTGAGAAAGAGAGAATAGGTACGTCAAGCACACACAACAGGAGGATGACAGGCAGAGGATTCAAATTTTGAAGCAAAACAAAAATAAGAAACAAAAAAAAACGACCCCCAAAAAATATATTATACTCGTATACTCGCCAGCCCAAATACCCATACCCTACCCGCTCGCTCAAACGAAGACGCGGTCGTACCCACCCACCAAAATGAAGACGCGGCCTCTGGCTCCGAACTCGCCAAACGACCCCCACACTGAAAGGACTAAAAAAAAATGTCCGCCCCCCCCAAAAAAGGTCGGGCATCGCCCACCACCGCCAACGGACGACCTTTGAGACCTACAGTTGGTCGTCTGCGCTCCAACCTCAACAACTACTGTTTTGCCTACCGGTCTCTGCCCTGCTGCCGATCACACACCTTGTTGACGCCCCATAAACCCCTTTAGCGGTCGTCGATATTTCTTGAAAAAGACCTCATCGCTACGCGATAAAATGCAATCGGGTAAAGCGCAACCTCTTGGCTGCAAGCAAATTTTATTTTTTTGTCACTCGTCGAGTGGAAACAGACAATGGGACACCGTCATAATAGACCACCGATAGGGTAGTGGCAACGAGTTTTTTTTTTACTAGAAAAAGATGATATATTCATCGAACTGACGGACATCAGACAATTCTCGGTTGGTTAGGCACGCAGGTGGCAATCATGAGGTTGTGGGTTCCAGCCCCGCTCGCGATGCACTTAGTGCCAACCAATTGTGATAGTCCGCTTGCTGCCCCTAATCGGTATTAGTAGGGTCTATGACGAACAAGGGTGTGAGTGTGAGCGTGAGTGGGTTGTACGTGGCGTGTAGGAGAGTGTTGGTCATAGCCTCTGCTACTACTCGATGAGGGTGAGGGAAGTAGATGGGAGGCACAACTACTGGCAAAATGCTTCATCTTTGCATCACCCCCCGCCCCCCACCAGCGACCCCACTGTACTCCCTTACCACCGCCGATTAGGGCGGAGGGCAACATGCATCCCCATAATTGTGAGAGATAACTATGCTTGCAAGGGTCCCCTGTATAGGCTCAGAAGTAGTGGTAGGTAGATCGTGGAAGGTAAAATTGAGAGAAAAATATGATGGCATAGTTTTAAACCACCAGTATTTGACATAGCTATCAGCCTCAGGAAAAAATAGAGCAGAAACATTTATAGTCAGATGAATTTCGGCGCTCATGTAGTGACCCGTACGTTTCCTAAAATCGTGGCTCGTATATCGGCATGATTTTAGGAAGTATCGGTGGCATAAGAAAGGAAACATTTTGTTATAGTCATCTCATTGGGATTCAAACATGTGTCTATATTTTATAAGTTCATAGGTGTGCCAACTTAGTTAGGGCCGTTGGCATGGCAACTAGTTCGACTACATACTACATGAAAGGCACGGACCCTGCAACAAACTTCCTCCCACATAAGGCTAGGATCCCTCATCATAGCTTTCACGAATTAAACTACTTAGTAGTGTCGAGTGAGTTAGGTCCACCAGCGTCAGGGACAGGATAAGGGATAACGAATTGAGACTCCACATATTACATTGTGAAACACTTTTGAGAATAAATTGGTAAAATTTACCCTGGGTGTGGGACGATAGCGCTCCGCTAGTGCAAATCCGTGGGCCAAATCCTGATGCCGATTACCTTACGGATACTAATAACAATTAGGTCGTTTTTGGTACTAATGACGATCATGTTTTGGACTAAGCACTACGAGTGATGCTCCGACTTTTAGCATAGGTCGATTCCCTCTTCATCTCCTATCCAAACTTGGTCTCGTCAAAGATGGAGGGAAATAGTATTTTCGCTTCTTGAGCGGTAGGTGGAGTTAGAGCAATAATTTGCATGACACACCTAGTGAGGGTCTTTTGCGATGACCATTTGGTGATAATATCAACACTTGCAAGGACTCGGAAGTGGTTCATAGTAGTAAAGACACACGGGAGCTATGTACAATTTGCATTATGTTGCAAAGGGTTTGGTATGACTTTTTATGGAGGCTTCTGTTATATTTAGCATTGTAATACTTATTATCGTTTTGCACTTAAATGTTAAGTGTTTTTATGCCATTGGTGGCAGGATGGGGTATCATTTTGGTCCTCCCAACCTGTTTCCATGTTGGTCTACCATTGGCGAAAGATAAGGGGAACCTTTTGCTTCTCTTGACCATTTTTCACAATAGGAAAAATACGATGTAGAGTTAATCTTCTGCTCCGGTTACTTAAATGATATCGTTTTATTGAATATGGTTTGCACAATTGTGAAAACGAGGGGGGACTATATCAGAGTGAT